TATCCGACCGTCTCTTTTCCTCGACCGGTTTGCGGTCGGATAACATCCGAATTCAACCGCAAAAGCCTCGGCCGCTTCTTACGGACACGTGTTAAACGCTCGCGTCGAAATCTATGCCGGTGAACGCATAAACGGGGACGATTAACGTAAGCGAGTGCAGAGTCGCGACGTCTCGGCGCAGATTGAAAGTTTCCGTATCTCGTGAGCGCGCTCGCAAGTAGCTGTTATCGTGATCACTAGTCGCATCGGAGAACCGAGTCTCGCGAAGTTTCGATGTTAATCGAATTCCCTTCCTCCTCCCCCTTCGCCGCTCCTGAACGACACGAGCCCACGATCGGGTAGATTTCCCGTCACGCAAGAAGTGTCTCGCAATCACTTTTAACAATAATCGTCTCATTATTCCGGCATGCGCGCGCTTCTTTCCTCCTCTCCGCCCGCAGGGCTTGTAAGAAAAATGAATGAAGCGTACTTGACGCGCGTCTGGAGATTCTCTCCTTCGTTAGAACCCGACACGGATTACGTAACTGTTTCGCGACAGCGAAGATTCGCGCTGCACCCGCGAAACGCAACGTCGAACGTAATCAGCGAAATTCCGATCGCCCGTGAGGAAGTGAGATTCCGCTCGCGCGTTCCGGCCCGAAGTGCGTTTTATCGCTCGGCCACAACACGTGCCGGCCGTCGATCCGTTTGTGCAAAGCACGCACGCGTCGCGATAGGATGCGATTAATGTACGATAACGAAGTTTCTCTTTCTCCTTCTCTCCTCTCCGTATTCCGTCCGTCTCTGTTTCTCGAGCGGGCCACTGTTATGAAATACAAATCACGGGTTACGATGTAATGAATTAAGCGAGTAACTCGATTTTCCTCTCGCGTTGCGCCTGCGTCGCGCGCTTTATATTCCGCGCGAACGCACGTACTGGAAATAACAGAGACTTTTCACAATAGAACGCGCGTCCCGACCGACGCTAAATGCCGCGTCACGTGGTGCGCGCGCGCGTGAATGACGCAAGATACGTAAGACGAAAATTACATGATGACTCTTAATCGTCTTAATCTTCCTTCCTTCGCGAGCGTCGAATCTTCGGCATTTACCGTTTGCTCGCGGCGTGGATCGAAACCAGCGTAATTTCGGCGAGCTCGATCTCGGACGGACAGACTGCGAGAAATTATTCGTTATTTTCCCGCCTCAATTATATCTTTTTTATGGTTTTAATCAAGTAATAACAAGCGCATTTAAAGTTATTATCACTGACACTACAGTAATATTCGCTAGAAAAATGATTCTTCTGATTGTAATTCGGTTACAAGTACGAAATATTTTTCTCCCAGTGTGACTCTCCCACCCGAATCTGAGAAGCGACCTCGTCGAAACTTGACGTTACGTTTCGTCCGTCCGTTCGTTCGTGAAGAAGAGCGCGAGAATGGATCATTGCCGCGCGCGTGTCCAAATCGGCACCGGTGATCCCGATGAGCACGACACGGTACTCCCTCAAAACAGGTGTGTGTTTTGTTTGCACGACGTCGCCGGCGAATCGGGAGGAAAGTGACGAGACTGCGATTCGTATACCGTGACAAAAATCCGAGGAACGTAACCGGGAGGGGGAGCCGGACGAAAAAGCGGCCGGGACAAAGAGAGCGGTTTGTGCGGGCGCGATCAATATATATGATAATGCGGTCGGTTTATACAGGTATCATAACGTGCACGCGCCCGTAACTGTATTATGTATGCGCGCTGTACATAGTACGTGATCCCCTCTTTTTTTCTTGTTCTTTCCCTCCATCTTTCTTGCGCATATAATAAACATGTTACGCTATAGCGCGCGGATATATCCGTACGCGACCACGTCGCGTAGCGGACACGTGCGCACACGTATCCACTTGTATTAACGTCGCCGGGGAATTAAGATAAGAGTGGCGCGTAGTTGTGACAGTCGGAGGTCTTGTTTGCGGGACAAGGTGGGCCGAGACAGGAACACGCGCATGTTCCGAGAACATTCGGAAAGATACACCTATCGATAATATCTGGCGCTATCGATCTCGTCTGATAAGAGCATATAGATAAAGACATAATTAGTTTGTGGCGTGATATTAAGTGATGAGTTCTTAATCCGTTTCATCGCGACACCTAGACTTCCCTCTTGAGCAGTTCTTCAGGTGGACAGTCCGCGGAGTGGGATGAACATTGTTGTTGTCAGATTGAGTTGCCACCTCTCGTCTGAAAGTTACGTTGACTGATCACGCGAATCACCACGTGGACGGTGCAGTGTTGTACGGGCGAAGTTTCGCGCTGAAAGCGAACTCGCGAGCGCTCGGTTTCTCGCTTGGCTGTTCAGCATCTCTCGCAGCACCGTTCGCAGGTATAATTTAACGCGACGACGGAACATATTTATAACAGATGCTGTCCGAAGCGATCTAGCCGACGTGAAGCGGTACCTCTCGTCTTCGTTATCTACTCTCGTCCAGCGGTACACGGTCGTTGAGCAAATTATGCGCGAGCGTGTGTGTGCAAATGCAGGGTCATTTCGGGGCCCCCGAAGTGCATCGGGGAGTTAATTAGCCCGTCCCATGCCGAGTGAAAAGTCCCCGACCGAGATACTATGCGCGTATCTGCGTGTGTACGCGCCTGTTTTCTCCGTGTTTTGCGTTATTGGCGATCAGCGGCGGTCGATAATTAATTTCGACCTTAAGAGACAGGATTTCCCGGATATGCGCGTTGACGCACCGGTAATGAGCTATAAAACGGGCATCAATATATTAGCACCGTATGCTAAATAAATTCCCGCCGATACGAGGCATATCGCCGGCTAATCGCGGATTTTCCGAGAGGACGGCGTATGACGTCTCCATGACTTCGGTTCGAAGAAGAAACGCTCGAGACTTTGTCGAATGAAAGCCGCAGATATCGGCACCGTGTTTCGCGTCGAAAGCACGGACGCGTAAAGCGGCTTCGGGAAGGATAACGGTTTTTTCCAGCATCCCTTAGCACACATGTCGAAATGTGTATCGATATGAAAACTCCCAGGTGTTTTCTATCACTCTCCGAACTTGGACGCTTTCTTCGACTCTATTCCGTATGTGACGCAGAATAAGAACCTTCGATATATTACCGGAGAGTCGTCATTGCGAAAATTTGTCCGCGCATGTGCCGTTTTCAATGCTCCGATAGTTTCGCACCGATAACGCGTGGAATTTCTCTCTTGCTAGAGAGGCCAAACAGGCCGTAAAAATTCCTGCAACCAGTGAAAAAAAATACGTGCATGTCGCATAACGGTCTCTCTACTGCACGCGTTCGCCAAGTTTCGCGCGGATTTATGCGAGCGAGGGAGAGAGAGAGAGAGGAGAGAGGGAGACATCCCGCAGAATGAAACTCGAAACGCCTCGACGCGCGGAGAGAAGCGCGACGGCTACTTTTGGATTCGCGAGGGTTACGAAAATAAATCCGTCCTTCTCGCACTCGCGCAGCGTCGCTTCCCCGGTAGGCCTTTGTGGCTGTTAATGACGAACACGGAGGAGAAATTGCGGTGGGACATCTTTACGATCGGGGCACACGGTGCCGCGCGAGGGCCGAGGATCGACGACACACGAGCGACGACGGGCGCGCCGCACGTTACGGGATTTAATTAAAGCGACCGGTGTATTTATCAACCCTCCTTCTCCTGCCGGCGATACAATCCGTTTGAGCGAATTCGTTCTGCGTTCTCTTCTCGCCCCTCTGCTCCTCGCGACAAGACGCGCGATACCGCGGCGTGAAGCCGACGAGGCGCGACCGTCGACTCGAATTTTTCGCGAGATAAGTCAGGATTTTTCGACGCGCGCGACAACCGCGCGTATATCGTACACAAGTATCTCCGACACGGTAATTTCACTCGCAAATCGTTACTCGAGCGCTGCTCGAGAGTCCGGTATACTCAGTAGCGATGTTAATACATTTTATTTTATCGTTAACGCGAAAAAAATCCCGTTTAGCGTAAAGCAGAAGGGAAAAGATTAAAAACGAGATTCACAGACATACAAGTACATAGACGCAAACAATATACCGGAACTCGAAGAATCTTTATAATAACAAATTTAGAAAATTTCAAAGACGTTGACTTATGGTATTTTCTTAAGAAAAATATTTATTAGTTTAAATTTACCGTAAATAATGCGGTGCAAATATTTATGAAAAAGCGGAAAATATCGAAGAGTTATAAATGTAACGTTAAATCTGAGTAACTGTAATAACTCGGCACATTCGACAAGACCTCTCAGAATCTTGAATAAAAAAAACAGGTCTATTATAAAAATTCACCTATCATTTACAGTTGATAAACCGAGCTCTAATAATACCGGTTCATACTCGTGACAAGCCACCGTCATGAGTTTGCTCAAGAAGAAAAAAACGACGCTGTATTTTTAGAACGGGACTCGACACGGAAAATGTTCGAGCGAGCGATCGGAGGAGAGCGCGAATAGGCAGGCGGTCGGGTTAGTTTTACATAACGATTTACGAGCCGATGTATAGCAATTGATTTACAAGCGCGGATCCGCTCGCTCCTCGGATGTGAGCTCGCCGTTGAACTTGTTAGGTCGGTTCGCGAGTAAGAAGCCGGCGTTCGTTACGCGGCTAACCCTTCACTCACTCGCGAGTCGTGAAATTAACGACTGCGGCGGTGGCGATCGCGCTAAATCAAAAACAGGATTTTTACCGGGACGAGAGCAAAGTACAGGTTGCGCCCCTCCTACCTCTTCAATCCTTCTCCGGTGATTACGATGAAGAAAGAGGAAGTGAGCGTTGCGCGAAGGAGGGCCCGCGTTTCCCCGATTGCTCGCCAGGAAGGCGCATACCTCTTGCGCGCGGCTATTACGTAACTATAAATTTTAATTGAATCTGCGCGGCTCTTCTCCGCCCCCCTCACTCCGGTGATGATCTCTTGGCCGTAAACATAACGCGAGGGGGAGTCGTAATTCTCGCAAGGCCCGGGAGAAGCTGGGAAGAATTAACAACTAGTTTTCACTCACCGTGTAGCTGCGCGAGCGACTGCAGTGTGTTGGCGTTGCAGTTTATGAATCCTGAAACACAAGAAGCAGAGACAGCGGTTTCGGTTAAAAGATTCGTTCGTCGCTTCGCACGTGCCTGCCACGGTGTCAAAAAGTGGAGCGAAGTCGAGGTCGCGGGGGGATACGTTAACCATGCGCGAGCCGAGGTGGATCGAAGTCGCGAGATGCGGAGGATCGACGGCCAAGTCGAGATCTACTTTCCCAGGTGCCCCCGCCGATGTTGTCGCGTGTTTTTTAAAAGAGCCGAACGAGTTACCGCTTTACGCCGTTACGCAATTGGCGATTCGTTCGATCGACGCTTTTGTCGGATTCGCGGAAGAGAGCGCGGTGTAACAATGATCGCGGCCGTGTGCAATGATAATAGCGAGCGCGACCGTGAATGGAAATTTACCGAAAACTGATTAATTAATTTCTCGCGTGCACGCGGAAATTCGCGGCGGGCGCGCGTGTCCGCTCGTGCGCAAAAATAACACACGCGCGCGCTTCTGCCCGGCATCAGAAATTGCAGCTTCGTTATAAGCGAAGCTGTAATTGCGTGTATCCGCATACGATACACCGCAATTAAGCCGTAAAATGACACGAGCGCCTGAAAATCTACTACGGGGATCGATTAATTAATTTCTCGTGTTATCGCGCGTACTCTCTCGCGTGACTCATCGGCGAAAAACCGCTCTCTCGTGATACTTCTCTCCCCCCTGGAAATCGAATAATTTTATAGAGAATTTCGCTCTTTTCCGGCCGCTGGGAACACGCTGTACAAACAGTTTCATCGAATATCATAATTTCGAAAGAGATCAATACTGAAACGCGAGACAGATCGGAAGGGCAATAACAATATTGCCATCTCATCAGAACAAAACGGTGAAATAAGGATTCTTATGGTGATCTCTCAAACATCAAAACCACAAGTGACATTTTTTGTCAAGTTCTGAGAACAAAGCTGTTAACCATGCGTCGCTAAAGTTGGAGGTACGTTGAAATAAAAATCCTATGTAATTACGAGGAACATTTCGAGGTACGTACCTAGACGATAGTGATTATTTTTAATGATTAGTCAAGAAAAGTGACAAAAGATGACTTTAGTGGGTTGGATGGTAGCGTTGCAATAATAATAAAAAGATCCGTGATACATATCGTCGTACGACGAGAGGGAAGAGTAAGAGAAGAAATCTAAGACGGTGTCGCGCGAAGTTTCACGCGTGTATGTACGCGCTCACGTGAGACACCAGCACACGTACGCCTCGTCGAACATTCCCATGACATTAGATAACCTTTGAACCTGAGGCCCCTCGGTCGGACCGGTCGGGCCTCGAGGTGCGAGCGAGCAAGCTGCAGAACATTGTGATTTAGGAACGTCGAAACGCGCATCGGGTGCGTCGTACTTCCACCTCCGACGACCTTCCGCTTTCTTCGCCCACGCTGCGCGCTTCCCCCTCTCCCCCCTGTCCTTCTCTTCCGTCGCTTCTGTATCGAGCGTTCTCGCGACACCTCACTCTTTAATGAGCATCAAGCGAGATTACGGTTATTAACGGTGTCAATGAGCGACGACGATGACTTTCGTCGCCTCGCGTGCGCTTAATTAGCGCAATCTCGTTTTCGTTTGTCCGAGGGGTTTCACGGTAGTCTCGCGCCCACGTATCGGACGGTGACTGAAATTGTTGTATATGCCGTGACGGATACGAAAATTTTCTGAGACCTCGGGGAAAATCGTCGGAAACGTTGCGCGCAGAAAAATAATTCGCTGGCACAGCAGATTTTATGTTGTCGCAGCGAAATCTGTCAGTTGCTATGCGGCCGGCAAAACGATTTGTTATAAATATTAATTCGCTGAATTTCCTCTAATTACGAATTAAGCCGCTAATTCGATTATGCTGTCGCAGCAAATATTCAGTAGCGATGAATTCACGACCAGCGGCAAAAATATATCCCTCCAATATTTTGTAGGGTAAGTTTACAAAGTTTTCTAAAAATTTATCTAAAACTCGTCCGACGGTTATCTCTGCCGGGTGATTTTCGTCGCGCCGCCGACGACGTGTAAAGCAGCGGGCTGCGCGTCCTGATCGGAAGAGTACACAGTTCCTGTTTGCGCGCGAATCGCGCGATAAGATAAGTGGCCGTGTGGCACAGGAGGAAGAGAGAGAGAGAGAGAGAGACGTGAAATTTCTCGATGTAGCTGGAATGTGTCTCTGGCGCGTAACGAACGGAGTTACGATCGCCGGTCGGACGTTTACCGCCGGGTACAATCGTGATAAACGGTGATCGGCGGCGATGCGCGTTCTGGGAAAACGGGATGCTCCACTTGACAACCCGTGCGTGCCCTCCACCCTAATCACCGCTTCTTCCTCCCTCCACCTCCTCTGGCCGGTGTAAATAAGAACGAAGCGTTACGGTAAAGACGCGTTGCGCGTCGTCTCTACCGAATAGACCTGCACACGCAACACGCCGTGTAATACAAAATATCCCTCCAGCCTGCAATCGCCCGCCGTCGACGTTCGAGGGCGTATCGACGCGCCGATTTCCCGATCGGAACGGTTCCGGAACACGAGCGTTCCCTCCGCGCTCACGATAACTAGACCGATTCGTCATTAGCGCAGAGTACCACGCGAATAATGACACTCGCCCCGTCTGGGACTCGGTAACGCACGAGCTGCGATCGTTCCGTCCTCCGAGCATTTCCAGCTCGAAGCGAACGCGCGTCTCTCGGCGACGAGGACGGGGAGGATCGGGAGAAATTACGCGCGACTCCGCCAGAGAGGAGCGTTCGTTCTGTTTGAATAAGACGTTAGAAATTGAGGGGTTCGCGATCTCCATTGTGCCGGGCGGCGGCTCATGCAACGGCGGTGCAGATGAAGTTACCATTAAGTACATCACTATTAAGTGCATTCGAGTATCGCGAGAGCGGTAATCATCAATCGCGGAGTGTATCGGAAGCCGCGTAATTTCTCGCGGCCAGAGATCTCCCTCCGACTGCGGGGATCCGCGCCGATTATTATCCGTCGCGATCTCGGTCCCCCGAAGGCTAACAGAGAAAGAGAGAGAGAGAGATCTCTTCGCGTGTCACACCGCGGCAAACGGGCAGGTAGGTACGTTGCTCCGGCGCGTGCTCGCCGGTGTTTTCTTCTGCAGGCTTCGCGGGGCATCGTGACTAATTTTCTACACCGTTACAATAATAGCGAGCGCAAGCGCAAAAACCATTTTCCGTGCGCGGCCGCCGGTCGACGAACTTACGCATGGGTAATAGAGTAGCGAGATATACTATTCCTCGGGTGGAGAACTTGCGGGGCTGAGCGTGCTCTCAGTGAAGAAAAGCACGAATAAATTGCGAAACTCGTACGAAAATTCCTCTCGGCGTTTTTCCTTACTACTTTTTTTCCGTCCGAAAGTCGAGCGAAATGCGCTCTTCGTTTAATCGGAAATCACAGACACGAGTTACATCGGGCGCAAAGTCACGCGAAATGAGACAAGCTGCAATCGGATTTTTACTCGCCGACGAGAGCCGCTTGTCGAGATATTTATCGGCGGATAATCAATGATATCGAGTATCGAAGGTGATACCTTCACCGATAGTCGCTTCACCGATAGTCGCTTCACGATCGCGCGCTCACCAAAGGCAACGACACTTGGCGGCGCTTCTGCATCCCGTTTTTCCAACTCGCATGTACGCGTACACGTTTTTCTTATCATCGACGTTGGCGCATAAAAGTGGGAACATTCGCGATATCCCCGATTTTTCGCGTCTGCGCCTTATCTTCGATATTAATGCGCGAAAGTAGAAAATATCTCCGTGACATTCCGACATCCAGCACTTTTGATCCTTATCTGCGATATTAATTAGCTGCTGATCACTGTGAAACGAGATTCGAAAAGACGAAATGAGGACACCGGTCGTCTTGTAAAATAATTTTCTCGTAAATGCGTGTAACAATAACACACTTAGATTTGCAGTGTGGTGCACGGTGCTCGTTCGGCGACGGTGTTCGCAATTGAGCGAGGAGAATGTCGATAACCCGTTCAAATTTCGGCATACGCGATCGCTTGTGCAACCTCGCGCCGAAAATAACAGTTGTACATACGAGACGCGTCGTTCGGCACCTTACAATGGGGAGTTGTAACACACCGAACGACTTCTTTGGACGCGCGTCGCCAGAAAATAAGCCTCACAAACGGACGCACACCGAAACGGCGCGATTGCACAATGCCTCCGGTCTATCGTCGCCTTCGGCCGAGGACAGGTCTCGCGTGTGAGAGTGCTCGATAAAGAAGGCAGAAAATACGATTCGCGGCTTTTATCCGAATACGACGCTCTCAAACGGAGCATGCGAAATCTAATGATTCCGGTAAGCTCGTTCCGACATCGCGAGACACACGTGCGACGCACGGAGTATTCGTTTGATGGTCATCGCGCTCCGGTCTCACGAGGGGCTCCGAGTCGAAATTTCGACGCTACTCTCACGTTCTTAAGGATAGTTTGCGTCTCTACTTAGACAGCCCGCAGAATAACTAATAAAAACCTACTTTTACGATACTGACATTTCTTACCTTCTCTCTTGAATTTTTATTCCTACAGATTGAACTTTAATTCTACCTTCAATAACCAATTTTGCAAGCGAAAATGGAAATTTAAGACATCGTTAAGATCAAAGTAGAGGTTATATCGTATCATTAGAATTTGAAATTCAATCTATTTTTTTCTATCTTGGCTCCTAATGTATTGTATAATTAAAAGTTTAACATAGAGCTAAAATTTCGACTCGGGACAAAGGCAAGACGCGTTCGAAACCTGAATTAATCGTTATTCTCCCACCATCTTCTAATGATATTTAGAAAGCTCTAATTCTAAGAGTGGCATCAACACTTTCTCCGTGGAGCGGTTTCTTCAACTTTTGGGATAGCGAACACATGAAACACGCCTTTGGCGAAATTCTACTTCTCCGCGATTCGCTATCAATCGCTTCCCATCCAGCCGAGCTTCACGATTACGCAACAAACTGGTATATTTATACTGTAATCGA